CCGACAAAGTTTAAGTTAAATGTTTTTCACTTAAGTTAAAGTCAAAAGTTATTTTGTCTTCTCTTGAAAGCCAAGGCTATAAGTTAGGAGTTTTCTTTCTCAGTTTCCTCAAGCTTTGTTTAGTAAACATTATAAGTTTCTTTCAGTTTTCAAAGTACTCTCAGAGTTTGTAGACCTGAGGTAACTACAATAGTTGTAAGTGAGAGTGGAGTGTGAGTGTCCTGCGTGACATTGCTTGCTTTCATTGAACTAAGATTTCTGTAAGTTCTTACTTTGTTTTCAAAGCTTCCACAGTTAATAATATTTTCAATTAATATTATTTCCTGTGTTTATTTCATAGTCCTTCAAATTCTAATTTATGTTAATTCAATTATTTTCATTAATTTGTATTCTCATTTTAATTAAATTTAGTGCTCTCATAATTTTTTATTCACCTACGTTAATTTTCTTTTGAGTTTATGATTAATTTATTAGTTTCAATTTCCATCCATTCAATAATTTATTTTATTCATTATTTCTCTATTTTTTATTTTTTAGTTGCCCAAGTCATCTACCAAGTCAATTATTTAGTCATCCTCTCTATCATCTTCCGTAACTAACTAGTTCCCTTCTTCTTCCAAGTCTTCACTCCATTAAATACACATGCAAAGTTTTCATACACATGCAAAGTCTTCAAGTCATTAAATATACATAAGCCAAATCCAACTAGAAGAACTAGATTAAAAAGGATTTTTAACTAGTAATAGACGGAAGACTTAGAGTTGGATTTGGCTTATGTATATTTAATGACTTGAAGACTTTGCATGTGTATGAAAACTTTGCATGTGTATGAAAACTTTATATGTGTATTTAATGGAGTGAAGACTTGGAAGAAGAAGGGAACTAGTTAGTTACGGAAGATGATAGAGAGGATGACTAAATAATTGACTTGGTAGATGACTTGGGCAACTAACAAATAAAAAATAGAGAAATAATGAATAAAATAAATTATTGAATGGATGCAAATTGAAACTAATAAATTAATCATAAACTCAAAAGAAAATTAACGTAGGTGAATAAAAAATTATGAGAGCACTAAATTTAATTAAAATGAGAATACAAATTAATGAAAATAATTGAATTAACATAAATTAGAATTTGAAGGACTATGAAATAAACACAGGAAATAATATTAATTGAAAATATTATTAACTGTGGAAGCTTTGAAAACAAAGTAAGAACTTACAGAAATCTTAGTTCAATGAAAGCAAGCAATGTCACGCAGGACACTCACACTCCACTCTCACTTACAACTATTGTAGTTGCCTCAGGTCTACAAACTCTGAGAGAACTTTGAAAACTGAAAGAAACTTATAATGTTTACTAAACAAAGCTTGAGGAAACTGAGAAAGAAAACTCCTAACTTATAGCCTTGGCTTTCAAGAGAAGACAAAATAACTTTTGACTTTAACTTAAGTGAAAAACATTTAACTTAAACTTTGTCGG